TGAATACGATCCAATTCCGTTACGGAATTCCGGGAATTGCATCAAGACCGAATTCGGTGGAATTGGACGGAATTCCTGGGAATTCCTACCGATTCCCACCAATTCCGGAATTGCGTGAACTACTTCTAATTACGGAATTACATGGAATTCCTACCGATTCCGGAATTCCTACCAATGCCGGAATTGGACGGAACTCGATCAATTTTCGAGTGGGTATCGGATATTATGTGTCGATCGAGTTCCCGGAATTGAAAGGAATCGATTCCGGAGCGGAACTGGTTCCTGAAATGTTCAACATTGCGGAATAGGATGACTGCTCAAACAATAACTTCGTCTGCAACTATAATGCATAAATTTGCCAGGCACAATTTTGTTGGATTACTCATTTCAAAAAGAATAAATTCATGACTTTCAATTTGTGGATGAGAGCCTGGCAGAAGACGTGCATTATGAGTATTTGATGACTCATCGGAAAAAAAGCTTGATTTCGAATAGTATATAAACATTGGCGAAAAGAGATTTATTCATTCATTAAACTATTACCATAGTTTCTTAATCTCTTTCTTTCTTATTATGAGAGCGACTCTCTTTACGATGTATCTTTATTCGAATGAAATAACCAAAACAGCCAAAAGAAAGAAAAAGAAACAAAGAATGCGAATAACGAGAAACGAGATATGATGTGAGAGAATGTGAAGGCATATAACGATATGACTGTAACACTTATTCATACCTATGATCTATTTTTTAACAAATGACATTTCAAAAGTGTCGATATGAAGGTAAAATTGTGGACATACTTATTCAATGTATAGACAAGAACAAATATTTGTTCTTACAAGATGTTCATGATCATTTTTTTGGCATTTGAAAATTTACACTGAAACAAGAACCAATACTATTCGTGAAAAACAACGATAATAGTGTTATTTATCCACAACGAATTGTAGCTCCTACTCATAAGATTCATTTTTATAAGGCTATTTGAAATTTTATTGGGTATGGGTGGCTGTGGAATGGAAAGAATACTTACATCCGCAATCTCACCCACACTCACATCCACACACACACGCCCACTTTCAAGATGGTTAGTTTAGATTCATCCTACTGACGCAAGTCGATGGATTTATTGGACAATTATATCAATGTCATTGGGGTAAGGGATGGTCATTTTGGCAGGTTTGAACTATAATTGTTGATTAGTTGGAATGTTCGACAGCACAGATCCTGAAATTATGATCACGGCAAGAAAAAATCCTACAAATGCTAAAAAGAAGCAACAGTTATGCTTCAGACGTTGACGTCGTTCCCGACTTTGTATTGTTTTGCCCGAGAAAGGCCGTGAGCCATGACAAAGCATATTCACCATCTCTAGGCACGCTTGTGTATCGTGGGAAAAAGGAGTATACTCGAGCATGTAATCAACAGCATGACATAACTTGTTCAGTCGTTCATCTAGCATGGTCGTTATTTCAACATTAGCTGTTTTTTCTAAATCCCCATTTATTTCACACTTGAGGGAGTTCATTTCCCAATGTAAAAGAGTTCTTAACATTGAAACTTCGTTTTTAAGGGCTTGTTCGAGTCGAACGACTTCTTTATTGAATTTCACTGACAATTCGTCAATTTTAATGCGACAGCTAAAAATATTAATTAATTTTTCATTTTCAAAAAAATACTTTCAGTTTCACGTACCCTTCGCAACATGTGCTTGCATCGTCTGAGTTGTGTTGCCGTGTTGATCGATGCTCCATGTCTTCAACTAATTGAGAATTTCTAAAGAAAAAAAAATTGTTCTTACTCAAACAAACGAAAAATGCTAAAATTTGAAGCATGCAAGAAAAAAATAAATGCAAAATATGTAATTCCTCTAAATTTATTCATTCGTCACATATACGTGATATTATACAATTCTTCTCATACCGCCGAATCGAACGTTTTTTTTCTATCACATTTTGAATGAGCACAAAAATTGATGGAATGAAGGGTGAAGGTGTGGGTGTGAGATCTAGAATAGATACCCCACACCCACACCCTCACCCACACCCAAACTCTCATTTTATTTGATATTATATACAACTAATAACTTTTCAATGATACATATAATTTTTATTCATAAAAAAATATATACCTCCTTTATCTTCGCTATACGACGATATTGACGTGGTTATAAAAAAAAGTACAAATAAGCCTTTTGTTAATATGGTGCTAGACACATTTATTACCCTTCTATGAAGAAGAAAAGAAAAAAAAACTAGCGTATACATCTGGTGTTTTATACGTGGTATGAAAAAAAATTGGACTAAATCAAGTAATAAATGAAGCGTGAATGTGAATAAACGAAGTAACAAACATGAAAAGATATTTTTCAGTCAAAAATATCAATTTTGGAATGTATATGTCGCAGCTGAGTTTAGAATTTAGTTGAGATTGGAATTCTCTATTATAGCATAAATGTTGTGATAAAATAATTTATATAAATAAAGTTTTTGTAGTTGAGGATATACGATTATTTGTTTGAGTATGTAATTAGAAACGCTTCAATCTTTTTTTATCTTCTTGAAGAAAAAAAGATTTATAAGAGATGCTTATTGTTAATCGTCAGGGCATTGGGACAATATTATTTTCTTTATCTTACTGAGAAGAAAAAGACTTGCAACAGCTGCCTGATTTTTTTAAAGCTCAGGACAATGGGACAATGTTGTTTTCATTTATCTTTTTGAAGAAAAAAAGATTTGCATGAGGTGCTTTGTTTAGTGGTGAGAAAATTGATTGATTTTAGAAGTCTCAATGATCAGAAAGTTTTTTTTAATTTGAAAGAAATATTGTTGTAGTTTTTCAAATGTCTGAGAACTAATATAATAATGTTCCGAGGATATTATTTCATTATTAAACGAGTATTTGTACTGTAGTTATTGTTTTTGTTATATTATTTCTTCTTTTGTATCTTGCTCGCCTATATATAGAGTTCGAATAAATGGATGAGGAAGTATTTAGATAGGATATACTAATGAATATATTTCGTTGATTGCCAAATAAATCTCTAGCAGATTTAAAGATTTGAAGATTTATGCAATTAAATTCAGTAGCTATTTAAACCGTTGTTAGTTCATTAATATACTGATCTTGGTGGAAAAGGCCGAACAGGCAAATGTCGAAAAAATTATCAAAAAGGCGAATATCGAAAAGGAAAATGTCGAAAAGGCTGACGTCGAAATATAAAAGTGTGAGAGAAAAATATCGAAAGGAAATTATCGAAAAGGAAAATATCGAATATAATAATAAGTTTTCTTTGAAATGCAATGAATTATTTTATTTGTTAATATTTGAGCAACAAGATACGATGCAGTAATTAACTAGCATATCAGTTTTTCCTTTTGCCAATCAGCAACGAAAGACCTGCTAGAACTTCTTTTGAATTAAGGGTATGGCTGATTTATTTTTATACCCACACTCAAACCCACACCCGATAAGCGCAAGAGTAGTAACGAGCGATACTGATAACGTTAACAACAACAATAATGCGTATTTTACTATTTTCAAACGAATAAAGAACTTTATTTTACTCCATTAATTATTATTTTCGGTGCTTTACCACAAATTATCTTTTTATATATTTATAATTGTACTGAATTGAATGAAAGATGGAAAAAATATACGTTATTAATAATATATTTATTATTGTATTTACCACAAATATTAGGATTTATTCTATGTTTCACCATCACGATCATACACTCAAGAATTCTAAAAGACAGCTATGGGCAAATTATTATCGAAGAAATTATGAAAAGTCAACACTTTATTCAAAGTATTTTATCGTAAAAGATAAAACTGAACGTTTCCTTGATAATAGAAAGAAGTAAAAAATTTCTAATATATTACAGATTACTAATAGTTACATTGATCATTTTTGTGGCAATATTTTTACTTTCATATTTGATTTTGTATTGTTATTGAATCTGTCATATATTTTCTAATGAATCACAAATATATTCCAACTGTCGTACACGACTGATTTGTGTGTTTACTCTCACCTTCATGGATTCTATAATAATATAACAGATATTTTCTTTCTTTTCGTCGTGCTCACTCACGAACAAAAGGCTCATGTTATTCACTTGGATAGTAATTTTAATATGTTAACAGTAGATTTTTTTATGTTCTTCTGATTGTTTATTGAACAACATCGTATTGCTGCTATGTAATATCAATACAACAGGACATCATTTTATATTTCTGGTTGCTATGAAAAACTATTACTTCGAAATAATTCAAAAGCAAAATTTTACCACTGTTCTTGGGGGTGTGAGTGTGGGTGTGATTATCTATACTCTCAGTTCACCCTCACATCCACACACTCACACCTAGCCTCTAATACTTCATTTCTTAACATTTTTGGCCTATATTTGCTCGATTATAATAGAATATATTGGTCTTGTCTAAAAACCAATGGTATAGTCGAAATCAGCATAAAAACTGGGTTGGATGCGGCTTATTTCACGCGTTTATTTTGACATTGAAGGTGCGAATGCACCTATTATTATTCACACTCACTCTCAAGATAGTGATTCATATACGGCTAAGTTTATTTCCACTATCGATCCAATATATCCTTATTTTGTGACAGAGATATTAAGTAACATCAGATGTACCCGTGGAATTTTTCTTTTCTAGTTCATTATTGACAATATACTTTCTGATCTAAACAATCTCGAAACTGTGATTATTGAAAATATTTATATAAAGATTTAATGCGTGGACAATTAGGTGAGAAAGACAAGATTTTATCTCGAAAATTATTTCGATTATATTATACAAACTGTTTTTATATGGTATTAATTTATGTAATTAGCCTGTATTTAGATACAAATGACTTTATATTCTAAAAGACAAAAAAATCGATTATTTTTAGGAGAGAAAGGTCATCATATTCTGTTTGATAGTTTAATTTTTGACTAGGCAGAATCGAAATTTTTTGTTTTGTCTACAACGCACAAAATTTAACAAAATGAATGGAAATTTTTCCGTTCATAACTGAATGTATAGTCGTCGCTTTGATTGGATTGGTGAACTGAGGTAGAATAAAGACACTATATAATGTTTGTGAATCATATAAAGAAGCAAAACAATCTGTTTAAAAATAGAAGAGAAATGAATTCTCCAAGAATTACTAAACTAGAGGATTTACCTGTGGAAATGTTAATGGAAATATTTAATTATTTTACAGCTGATCAAATTTATTTCTCATTTTCTCAATTAAATAATTATTTCAACTTAATTCTCAAATCATTGCCAAAATTAATTCTTGTGATACATGAACATTTAGTCCTTGTGTTCTCTCTTTTTTTAATTCATTTAACAAAATTCTCGTCAAATTTTGTGATTCACATATAAATCGTTATCGTTGTCGTTGTCAATCTCATTCGATAAATGGTGGTAATCGTTTGTATGAAATTTATCCGATGATAGATCCAGGCTGGTATCTGATGGAATTCAATAAAAATCTATTTCCTTATTATCCCAGTAAAATCGACAATATTATTCATCCTGATAATTATTCACGGCTGCAATCATTAGTTTTACCACATGCTTCATCTAAATTGATACAATTGATATTTAATGGGGAGTTTCCTCGTTTAAAATTTTGTCATCTTGGTATATGCGAATCAGGTAATGTTTCATTTTCGATGACAACACAACTACAAAATCTTCGTCAATTAACAATACGAGGACGACTACAAGGTCATGTATTAGAAAAGATATTAATGGTTTGTCCTTGTTTAGTATATCTGGATTTTTCGTGTGATGATTCTATTCCTCCATTTTATTTCATCAATTGTTGTTTTCCATCGATGAAATATCTTCGACTTGGTCGATTTCATAACTTTTTCTTTCACAACGGACAATTCGTTTTTCTTCTCTCACTCTTTCCAAATCTTTTACAATTTCATTTAGTTGGCGATCAATGTCGTCATGATGTTGAAACAATCAATATTCAAGAAATTGCGAATTATTTACATCGCCAATGTCCATTACTGAAAATATTAGTTTTATGTATTTTTGTGCGAGGACATATAACTGTTTTTTTCGACAGTTTAAAAGAAATTACAGAAATGCATTCTCTTTTCAATTATGTCGAGAGATGTGAGTGGCGTCTAACTATTAGCTCACATGATTTCATTCCGCATTCTCATTATATATATCGATATACTCGTCCTTCATGTAGATAATTATCTATTCGTTTTTGGACTATTTCATTTGTATCTTGTATTCTTCTCTTATTCAATTAAAATAAACTTAGAAAACCATTTTGAAGATGGGTTTGTTGCTGAATAAGTTTAACCTCATACTTTTAAGCATACCGATATACTTTAGATCAGTATTAGTGTAGTACTATTTGTTTTTGAGGTGTGGGTGTATCGTACTCATACCCAAACTCACACCCATCAAGATTCACATCCATCTACACTCTCTCATGATATACTTTAGTTGAATCCATGAAAGATGCACTCGCGACATTTGCTCCCCAGCGGCACTTGCTCTCCTGAAATATTTGCTTTCCAATATTAACTGTCGATCGGCAAGATGATCATTATTAATAGAGTATGGGTGTGAGCGTCGAAGATGATATAGTTGGAGAAAAGATTATAACACACACCCATACTGACATCCACACTAACGCTCACACTAACACCCACACCCACACCCACACCCACCCTCAAGATGATATTCAGAATCAGCGCACAAAAATTTACCAAAAACTTTATTCTTTATGTTAAAAAATGACCATCAAAATTTTCACTCTATCCCACCTCAGCATTTTCTTGTTTAATTTTGACCTGTACTTCCCTACAAGGTCAAATTTTGACGGAAAATATTTCAGAATAAAAACTGGCGTTTCCGATGTATTTTTACACACTAACTCCGAATAAGATATTTATTTTTCATAAAAATTGAAAAAGTCAGCCATTTTCCTATATGTTTTGCCTCAGAGGCTCTGTCTCCTCAGAAAATTGAATCCTGCTAACAGATACCGAGGTGGTGTTTTTGGGTTTATTTTATTATTTGATAAAATATATAAAGCTACATTGGTGACAAAAGTTTCACTTATTAGTTGAGCGGCATTGTGCAGTTATAGACTAATTAATGTTGTCATGCATCGAAACATACGTGCTACAATGGAATTTATTATGATAGGCAGTATTCGTTAGTAAGATGATTTTAATATTATTTTGTAAAGAACCTTTGATTGTATATATAGTAAAAATTTGGTAATTATTCAAGCAGCCATAGACGAGATAAAGACGTTATCATAAGCGGGAGGTGATTATATGTTGATAATGGTTCTCTCTCGAATATTTCGATTTTTTTGCTAAGAGTAAAAAGTCCACGAAATGATTATGTGTTCTTGTATGCTCTCATTAGCCTCAGTAAAAAAATAACCAAAAGGAAAGAAATCATGCGGGGGGTATAGGCGCCAGTTCCTTTGTATCTATAATGTCATGCTACTTCTAACTACTCTCTAAACATGATAATTATAATCAGAAACTCTATGTTGTTAAATATAAATATAATTACGTGTTATTCATGAGAAATTTTTACAAAGGATGTTTAGAATGCGAGCTCAACATGACTCTGTATGAATAATTAAAAAAAGAGATGATTTTTAATGAGTTTTTTTCCAAAATGATATAATAGATGTCACGTAATCACAATGATTCAAAATCTGAGGAATACGATAACCTTCCCATCATACAAACTGAATAAAACATTTAATTATTCTATTTGTCTACTTCTAAATCAAATTCAGACTATTTTATGATTACGAATGTCATATAAATTTAATATTATGAAAAACAAAAATATCTAGTCTAATAAATAGAATGTAATTAGAATAGAATTTTTTTTTTCATAAATCATGCCTATTCATAATCTCAGACATGCATAATGTATTATTAAAACACATCAAAGCATGTTGAGAATATGCGTTCTACTTTTGAAGTTTAAAATAAGTAAACTTAATTTTCAAGGTCTTGCTGAAAAACATAGAAAAGGGAAATGTAGAAATGATTAATCATTTTTTTATGCATGTTAAGTAGTATATTTATTAATTCACAAGAAGAGACAGCTAATATTCATTCTAACACGTAAAAGTTTTGCTTCTATTTGATCTGGATTCACAGAATTTGCATGTCTACCATTAAATTTTTCTACTGTAGTCTTTTTCATTTCTACGTTTTTCTCTTTGCACGTTTTTCTACAACCCCATTTGCAACACCATTAGTATTCTTTTAATCATTGTGGAAGTAGTTATTAAAAATGTCAGTTGGTAGCAATGAAACTTTGGGCTATGCAAATAATACTTATCCTTCATTGGAAAGTTCGTTCAGGCGATCAGTTAAATTTAATATTTTGATTAGTTGTCAAATTCCTTCGATTCTTTGCAATTTGGTTATATTCTATTATTTCATTCGTTTACGAGAATTACAAGCAAAACGACATCATCATGTGTAAGTATTTTCTTCAAATTTCTTATTTTCGAAATAATAAAAGAATTTTTTTTTAGTGTAATATGTTTATTAATATGTAATTTTCTTATAATAACCGTGGAACTACCTGTTACTCTTATATATCTTTATCATGGTGAACTTATTCCATCATCTTATTCTCTTTGTCTTTATTGGGTTTATATTAAGTCTCTTCTTTTTCCATCAAATGCATGGATTATGGCAATAGCATCAGTTCAAAGATATATTTTCATATTTCATAAACATTGGATGAATTCTTATCTCAAACATTATCTCCCCATTTTTTTACCACCCATTTTCTTATCTATCTGCTATTTCATACTTATTTTCTTTTATCCATGTCAACAACAATTTGATTATACACAAGCATGGTGTTTTGGTGCATGTTATCTATATAATGCAGTGATTGGTACAATTGATTGGATAGTTAGTTCAATGATACCTGTTGCATTAATTGTTATTTTCAATATTATCCTTCTTATACGAGTAATTTATCAAAAATATAAGATGAGACGCGGTAATGCTTGGCGTACTACTCGTAAACTTTCTATTCAACTTTTCTCAATTTCTTTTCTTTTTCTAAGTATTTATTTACCATTTATTATTCTCGGATTAATTCGAACTTGGATTGATCCATTATTTCTTTATGGCGTTACAATAACTTATTTGGCTTATGTAGCATATGTTGTATCATTATTAATGCCATTTATCTGCTTAATTAGTCTCCCTGAAATTGTAACAAAGATAAAAGAATTATGTTGTCTTACTAATAGAGTAGAACCAACACAACAACAAATTGCAATAACATTGAACACAAGACGAAACATTCAATAAACACAATAATTTTTAAACTGAACTATTTTAGAAATTTTTTTTCTTTGTAAATAACTCAAAATAATATATACTAATTATTCATTTAATTTTTTCGATAACAATTTCAATATCTTGAGGGCGTAGGTATTTTATTCATCTCTCGCATCACCCACACCCTCAAGATCGAAATCGCCATCTTAGTTGCTTAACTCACTCTTATCAATAATACTTTTGATGGGTTTCTCAAAATTTTTGAACTTGCACTATTCTAGATCTAAGCAAAAATAGATAAAAAAAATCGTCGTATTAATTTATTCTGATAAAAAAAAGTCTTTAATTATTACTCTTCATCAGCTATTTTAAGAATTAATTTTCCTTGTGCTTTTCCACTTTTGGATTTTTCATAAAGTGAATATAATGCGTCTACACCATCTTTTCTCCAATCAAAAACTGTATCAATTAATGGTTTAACTTTGTTTGTTTCAATAAATTTTGTTCGAATATCATCAAGATCTTGAAAATTTTCATATAATACATGACGTATATAACCATGATGAGCTGAACTAAAAATCGACCAAAATTTTCGATTTACTATACTTGAACCCATTACAATCAATGTTTTTAATGAAATAATAGAAGATAAATCATCACCAACAATAGTAATAAATTGTCCACCTCGTTTTAATATTTTTTGTGCGGATATCCATTGTTGTTCACCACCAACACAATCATATACAATATCATAATTTTGATCTGAAGATAAAAACAAAATTAAATAAACTAAGAGAAATAAATCTATTTACCTTTAAGTTCTTCTCCGAAATCTTTTTCCGTATAATCAATAACATGTAATTGATTTTGATCATTATTCATTTCAATATTTGTTTGTGTTATTGTATATCCTAGAAAGAATAAAATTCTATAGAATAAATAAGATAAAATATACAAACCAAGTTTTTCCATTAAACTAAAATTTCTTTTTGAACATGTCGCTGTCACATAAGCACCAACTGCTTTAGCTAATTGAATTGCATATAGACCAGTAGCTGTACTACCACCACAGATTAATATTTTACTTCCTTGTCCAATAGGAGGTGAAATTTTTTTAAATAATGCTTGAGAACTTGTGTCACATGCTAAAGGTACAGCAGCTGCTTCTTGCATTGTTAAATTATTTGGTTTCAATGTAAATAATGATTCAGGTCCACGAACATATTCAGCATAACTACCACCATGAATTCCAAGATCTCCATACACTTTATCACCAATTTGAAGACGTTTTACACTAGAACCGATAGCAACAACGACACCAGCAACATCAGTACCTGGTGTATGAGGAAATGAATATCGAGTAACAAGTGATAGTTTTCCCTCTAAAATTTTCCAATCGACTGGATTAATTGCAGCAGCACATACTCGAACAAGTATTTGTTTAGATGATAATTGACGAGGTACAGTTACATTGTCATCAAGCGTAAGAACATCACGTATATCTCCAAAACCACTTTGCTGAGCTGCTTTCATCACAGAAGGAATAGGAATATTATTATTTGTACTATGAATAGTTGTTGATTCAGCCATGTTAATAAATTAAAATCTTAAAAAAAAAACATAAAATTAAAAAACGGCCTACAAATAGAATAAGACATGGCTTTATCACATTTACATGATTCATATGTCTATAAATGAGAGCGAAAAAAAGTGAAAATTTTATCTAGTTCACATAAAGTTCGAAGCACGAGTGTGGTCGGATTTTTTTCTTTCGTTCTGTTACTGCATATGACAAACAAATTAAATAGAAGAAAAAAAACTATTACATATTCATCTTTACGTTTATTATAAAATATTGTATCACATTAAATGTAACGAAGCAGTTCAAATATTCGAAAAGTACATCACTAATTACAATTGATTGGAACGTAAGAAATACTATTTAATAAGATATATTATATAGAAAAGAAGAGAAAACAAGTTTTCTTTTAGATAGTTTTTGCTTTTATCGAAAATACTCATGTACAATACTCTTCATAAAGAAGATGGAAAGGCTCTCATACCTAACTACGTAAGACGATTCAAAAGTAGAGACGGCAGTATTGTAATTCCTTATAAAAAAAAGTTCAACTAATATAATAACAGTAAATTTTCGATACGATCTCTTATTCTTCTCTTATTTGTTCCATCTTTTTAACGTAGCTTCTCAAAAGAGATACTTTTTAATTAAATAGCATAGCTATTTAAAGCTTCATAGCTATTTAAAATGTGGCGCCTTTACGACAATATTGTAGCTAACTGATTCAACTAGCTATGTAAACTTAGTGCTATATAAGCATTAACATAGCTATTTTAAATATTGATAGCTATTTAAACAAATGTGCACAACTATTAAATTATTTAAGTAGCAGACTATTTTTCTATAGAATTTTCGATTTGTTCTTTTCTTTTATTGGATGACTGACCGCGAAAAATCTATAAACTTTTTTTTCCCGATTATTTATCAAATACTTTGAATTGTTATGATAATTTTTAATAATCTTGGTTTTAAATAATTCATAAAATGATATACATTAAAAAATCAGTTTTTGTTACGGATGAATTAGATATCTGGATAATATTAAATATTTCTTGTTTTTTTTTTCAACCCGCCTGCTCATAGATGTTTGGAGAATAATAAAATTTTTGGTTTTTTTTGCAACCCGCCTGTTCGTAGATATTCGGATAATAATAAGTATTTCTTGTTTTTTTTGCATCCCCTGCTCGACAAAAATGAGTAACTTTAAATAAATAGCTGAGATTTTTTTAAATAGCGCTGGAAAAGTTTAAATAGTACAAGTATTTTATATAGTGCTGGAGAATGTAAATAGCTTGTGATCTTAAGATAGCTAGAAGATTAAATAGCTAACAAAGATTTAAATAGTGCCGGAGAATTTAAATAGTTAGTGAAGAAAATAAAGTCATATGAATAAATAACTATTTCGTTTTTATAGAATTTTAGACTATTTTTTTCAACTGAATGAATATCTATATAAAATCTTCAATCTTTAATTGTAAATCGTTATCAAGCTATCAAAATTTCGAGTCATTGTAATAATTTTCTGATAAATCTAGTTTTGAATAGTTCATGAAATAATGTAAGTTAGTAAAATATATGTTATTACGAATGAACTAACTATTTAGATAATAGATATTTCTATTCAATTTCATAACACCTGCTTGAATGCAATCATTAATTTAAAATAAACAAATAACACATTCTTATTGAAATACTTGCCATTGAAAAAAATATGTATTACAGTTAGATAGATAGATAGAAAATATTTAATTACTATACACATGTTCATAGAAGAAAGGTATATTAAAAAGTAGTTATTTTAAAAATGAGGTATTTCGACGTAGAAAATTGTAACATAGTATATTGTAATACTAAAATATTTGCATTTGTATTTTTTTTCAATCTCCTATGAAAGTCTTTAAATAGCGATGAAGATTCTTAAACAACTATGATCGTAATTAAATATCTATACAGATTTATAAAAATATTATCAAATATGGAATAGCTATTTTTTAGTAATTTATAATAAATTTTATCAATACTAGTCAAAAATGTCTACAGTTACGTATTCACTTAGATAACTAGTTGAGTTTTATCACAAGTTCGTATTTTATTCCGTTATTTGATCGTGTATGTAAAATCAACGCCTTCTTTTTTTTTATTGAATACTTATACAATTTTTTTAAAGAACTACGATTGTTTTTAACTAATGTTAAATTTTGATAGTTGTTAATATAATGAAGACTAAATAAATTACGTGTTGTTTCACATGTAGTTGCTGCTAAAAAATATATTGAAATTTTTATTCATTTTTATAAAAAGATATCAAAGTGTAATCAGTAACTTTAAATCAATAAGTGATATGTATCAATATAGTTAAGAAATATTTTCATAGCTATGAGTATATTAAGTTAACATGACGTTTTAAATAGCTTGCGAATGTTTAAAATAGCTACGAGAATTCAAATAGTTATCGAAAATTTAGTAGGTACGAATATTTAAACAAATAACATAATTGAGATTAGTATACTAAATTTTGTTTTCTAGAATCTGATTATCTAAATAATTAATCTTCCTACTTATTTTTCATCACAACCTGCTCGAAATCAACTAGTAATTTAAATTAAAAGTTGTTATATATTTAATTATCTACAACAATGATAATAGATGATCAATATACCACCATCTATATTAACAAACTACATATTATTTCAAAAGTCTGTTACTTCAATAATTGGTATGCTAGTTGATTTCTTCAATACTCTACTCAAAAACAATCAGTAGTTTTTAAATCAATTTTTAATACCTATTTATACAGCAAAACAAAAACAATTTAAATGATGAACAAATAAATTATTGTTAAAAAAAGCGTTATTATTTAATTATTATAATTTTTTTTCAACATCTCTACATGAATAATTCAGTAACCTAAAATATATATTTAAAACTTATTCATATAATTATAAATATTTATCTGTTGATAATTCAAATATATTTAATAGTACTTGATAATAACTAGCTACTCATCAAACTGTATATAGTAAATAAATAGCTATCAAAGTTTTAAATAGTGCACACGAAACATTAAATAGTGCTCTAAACTTTAAATAGCGCTCAAGATTAATTAGTTGCTAAACAAAGCAAACTCTTAGTAATTAAATAGCCGACAGTTCATTAAATAGCTAAAACGATATATTAAATAGTGCTGTATTCTATTAAATAGTGCTGGCTATCAAATAGTTGATGAAGAAAAAAATCAAATAAATAAATAGCTGAAGAGTCATTAAATAGCTAAGATGATATATTAAATAGTGCTGTAATCCATTAACTAGTGCTGGCTATTAAATAGTTGATCAAGAAAAAAAATCAAATAAATAAATAGCTGAGGAGTCATTAAATAGGTTTGAAGCTGGATTAAATAGTGCTGTATATCATAAAATAGTGCTGGCTATTTAATAGTTGATCAAGAAAAAAAATCAAATAAATAAATAGCTGAAGAGTCATTAAATAGCTAAGATGATATATTAAATAGTGCTGTCATCTATTAAATAGTGCTGCCGATTGAATAGCTGAGAAGTAAAAGTCTAATACATAGTTTTCTTTACTGTTTTTTTAGAGATAGTCTATATAACAAAAATTGTATCTCTTTTGAGAATGAACCCTTTTTAAATGTCTAGTTGTCTATATATAAGGCATAGTATAATATTCCTCTATCATCCATTTACACCCGGTCAATATATATTAGTTTAAGTCGTTTTATAAATCTTCTTTATTTTATATTTATACAGTACAACATATGATTAAGTAAAATAAGTGCACGCTGAGAATTAACCTTTTTGAAACAAATTTTACATTTCGAGATTGAATTCTTTCATGTTCAATTGATTTTCCTCATCTACAAGCCTATGATCCATCTGAAGAAGCAAACATTATTATTAGATATTTTTTTGTCAAGCTATTTTATCATCATGTTCAAATTTATATATATATTTTCTTAAATTCACTGTATATCAAGATACTAAAATACTAAATGAATAATATTAAAATAAATGATTTTAATGTCAAATATTTGCTATGAAGTTGATAATCATATTGTATTTATTATTAATTCCTCAAATTTAATTTCTCTTTGTAAATTCCGTAATAAATAAGAATTGGTATAGATAATATTGTTTATTAATTAGAAGAATATTTTACATTTGCATAGAATGATAGACATTAATCTCTGTTCTGAAGATATGCTTAAAATTTCTCGCTTCTTGTCTATTTTTTTTTCTTATAATTAATCTATTTCATTCTGTTTGTCTCGACACACTGCTACAAAATTGTCATATGAATATAAACACTTTCTTTGTGTTGTAAGAGCTTCCGAGCGGTTGATGAATAAAATAAATATTTTACGTAATCAAGAATGAAACGAAAACAGAATATAAATACCAGTTAGGTGTCACCGTTTAAGTTCTGTCACGATATGTGACGTATTTATGTATTTTTGTTTTGCTTTCTTCTTTTTCTTCTGATAGATGCCAAGCATGTTTTCATTAGCTCTATGAACAGCACTCGCGATACGCGGAACTTAATTTATGCCAACAAGAAAAAATATCGAAAGGAAGAAAAGATAAACAGTGCACGATATAATAAAATAACAATCAGACTTTGCGCTATGTGATACGATCATTTTCTGGGCAGAAAAAAATACTTGACATCTATTACTCGAAGTAACTCGAGAAACTTTTTTTTCTTAGTTTGATCCTTCATTCTCATTTTATGTCTAACTGGCAAAGTAAGTTCTTTGATTCGAAAAACATCCTCTAATAGTTTTATGTACTATGTTCGTTCTTCAATTTACATAGGTGGCCTTTGCGATTGTTTCACTGACTGCGGTATTTGTTGTTACGGCTTCTGGTGCATGCCATGTCTTTATGGTGAAAATGCTGAAAAGATCAATGGTAGTAGTCGTTTTGGCTCATGCTGTCTGTACTTGATTGCTCAAGATGCTGGTTGCGCCTGGATAGCGCACATGATGACTCGAAAGGCTCTCCGTACAAAATATAATCTGGTAGAAGAGCCGTGCAGTGATTACTGTGTGACGGCATGTTGTTCGGCGTGTGCTATATGCCAAGAAGCACGCGAAATCAAGCATCGAGAGAAAAAAGACGGTTAGTCACGAATGAAAAACGTCAGAGCATATCGGCGTCTCATAAACACTCGACAAAAAAATGCGTATCTTAGACTTTGTGTCTATGAAGCTAATCTTGGAACGTTATGTTCTATTTGCGAAAAAAATGCCATTCAGAATCTTTTATTGTAGAGAGAATACCCAAGACTTTTATTTCAATTCTCTTTTTCTTTTAGTGTAATATACGGCTGTCACAGATCAACCATTGCACAACATGGCTAATTTCAATCGGGGCAATCATTAAAAGAAACCCACCGAAACATGCTATCTGCCGATATTACAGCAACCATGAAAAACTAATCCAAATAATATCTTAACAGACACATTATCTTTTATTTTAATCATGAATCTGTAGAATTTTAGCCATTGAAATCATCTTATTACACTGAAATAAAGTATAAGAGATCGTCTAATAGTTGTTGTCCTTTGGATCATTTTTCTCTCGTTGATTGTTTGCCAATGTAAAATACAAGAGTAGAGAGAACTGAAATTCGTAAGACCCGATAAATAAAGAGCATCGTCTTTGCTTTTTCTGGAGAATGTAGGTGAGAGTTTCGCTGTTACTATTTTATTTTTTGTTTTGTAGAGATTTATAAGAGAAATCTTTTGAAAAAATAAAAAAGTCTAACTAATTGAACACTCAAAGAGATTATATCGTTAAGCCTGTTCGAGACTAATTTATTTTGAGATATCTATTATTATCGTTCCTTCTGCTTTTAAGATTATGTTGGCTCTACTTCGCCTAATCATATCATTTATTTCAGTCTGCATGAAATTCTACAAAGATCTTTGCCTATCTTTGACAGTGTATCGCTCGTAAATAATTTATTGATTGTATAAAAGAGATTAGTCAAATTCTTTATATTTTTCAACATATCTAAAAGTAATAGTATTGTTGTAGATATTCAATTTTTATTTCATATTTCAGAACTCATTCTGTTTTGGAGTACAATAGCATCTTGAGGATGTGGGTGTAGGTGTTGTATTCATTTTGCACTCACACCCTCACGATGTGAGAAAAAGTGTACTGATATACGCCATCAATGTGATAGGTTGTTTTGAAGACTATCATACTCTGAAATATTTATGAATACTTTTACATGCTAATAAAATCTATTCGAGACTGTTTGGAAACGAAAAATAAAAAATCCATCTTAATAAAAAATCAGTAACCAAAGGGTTAAAGACAAAGTTGAATAGTTGCATACTTTGTAAAATAAGTTAAAACGAAGAAGAAAAAGTAGATCTATGTACAGTTTTGTCTTCACATTTCAATGATACTTCTCTATAGATATTCTACACTAATCAATTTGATTTTTTTGGAGTGCCTTGAATCAATAAATTTCAAACTAACAATACGATAATTACTATTCGCAAAGAAATATTAAATAGAAATTGTCTTATTGTTGATTTTCTTTGGTTAAAATACATATTCATACAAAAATAAGATAAGTTGAATGTAAGTATTTTGTTTACGTCATTAGTTCGTATATGTGATATGATTATAGATTTTGTTTTAACTTATCTGTTGTTGTTATTTAAAGTTATATTCATCTATGTCCTTCATGAACTTATTTCGAAGTCTTTTTGTAAGCGAAATGTGCCAACGATCATACATTCTAAATGCGATGAATACTATCAAAATAATTGAATATTATCAAAAACTACACTATGCCAAACTAAGAGAACATTTCAAAGGATAATTAAAGTTATCGTATCAGTTGTAACTTTTGTTAATCATAACAAACTAATACATAAGTGTAAAAAAACAAATATATTTTATTTATTTGGGATCGAATATTAAAGTATGTGATAATTCAGTCAAAATACGGAAAAAAAACAGTCTGCGGACGTTATAAAATAAGAACTCTTCTAATTAAAGTACTGTTTGGAGTTTGAACTACTTGTAAGAAAAAGAATAAGATAAGTGAAAGTTAATTTACTTGAAATACTTAATATAATTCTGCACTATTTAAAGCAACACCATTAGCATCGTATCCACCAGTAACTAGTACTTTTTCATTTAATAATACAGATGCTGTGTGCCAATATCGTGCATTAGTCATGCTATCAGTAGTTGTCCAAATACCTGTTGATGGATCATATAACTCAGCACTATTGATAGCACCATAGTCATCTCCACCAGTAACTAATACTTTTCCATTTGATAATACAGATGCTGTATGTCGCTCTCGTGCAATATTCATGTTACCAGTAGGCGTCCATGTACCTGTTGATGGATCATACAGCTCAGCACTATTAAAATAAGCATGATAATCATATCCACCAGTAACTAATACTTTTCCGTTTGATAATATAGATGCTGTGTGATAACCCCGCGCAGTACTCATGTTACCAGTAGTTGTCCAAGTACCTGTTGATGGATCATACAGTTCAGCACTATTTAAAGCACTATAACTAAAGCTTATACCACCAGTAACTAATACTTTTCCATTTGATAATACAGAGGGTGTATACCAATCCCGTGCAATAGTCATGTTACTCGTAGGTGTCCAAGTACCTGTAGATGGATCATACAATTCAGCACTATTTAAATAACCAACAATATTATTGTATCCACCAGGAACGAATACTTTTCCATTTGATAATACAGATGGTGTGTAAGAATCTCGTGCAATAGCCATGTTACTCGTAGATGTCCAAGTACCTGTTGATGGATCATACAACTCAGCACTATTTAAATAACCATTGTTCTCGCCACCAGTAATTAATACTTTCCCATTTGATAAAACAGACGCTGTGTGATAATATCGTGCATTTATCATGCTACCAGTAGTTGTCCAAATACCTGTTGATGGATCATACAATTCAGCACTATCTAACAAGACACCACCATTGCCTTGTCCACCAGTAACTAATACTTTTCCATTTGATAATATAGATGCTGTGTGACTCACTCGTGCATTATTCATATTGCCAGTAGAAAACCATCCTAGAAGTTACATTTTTATATATTTAGACAATATAATATTAGATCGTCAAAGGCTCAACATTCATTATTCTTATATAGTATTTTTCATTATTCTAAAAATGACAGTCTTTGATGTTTTTGTTTTATACCACCTCACACTTATGTAGATCGAAAATAGTAGTCAAACGTATTGCATAAAATCTCTTCCCATTTCATTATCACATCTTCAGTTTTCTATGTTTTCTATTTCCTCTGTTATCTCAATCAAATATACGAAAGATGTCTGACTCAAATTAATCATTGTGCTAATTACACTGACTGATGTATTTTTAGGTTTTTGACGAAGTTTAGAAGTTTTGATCGAAAGTTACTAAATAGAATAAAAGACATGAACTTCGCATCAACTCTTACATAGTTCTCTGAATACGACAAGTAATGTAGCAAATTATTCACAACATTTCCCTTCTCAGTGGTCACTGTATAAGTGATAAAAGAACTATCTAGCATTCATCATTGGAACTGATATAAAACATAAACTAATGAGAACTTGAGTGATTAATCTCAAAGTCTTTGATAATTCGCTATCAAATTATTGTTAATTTTCCATTAATTTACGCAAATTCCCCTATTTAGTTCTTTTTGATCTTGTTCTCAAGGGCGTTTCATATCTAATTAAATATTCAACTTAAATTTTTTAGCACAAAACAACTTTTCGTTAATCTACTTTTCACATCTTCTTATGTAATGAACACTATCATAGAAAAAACCAACCTTTACAAATATCTAAAACATAAGATAAAAGATTAATCTAAAGATAAATGTAGTATTTAATGTATAATTGTATAGCTCAGTCGCTCATTTCATTAATCAAGACAAACTAGATGAGATAGTTATTAATCATAGAGAATTAATCTCAGACTCTGTTGAAACTGACTTACCTTTATATGTATTCTGTTGCTAAATTATATCTCAGGTGATTCATCTATTTTACAATTAGTATAACGTTGATAATCAACATTATCGCTGAAATCATATTAAACATAACTATAAACTACAACTACTAGAACAATAATAGTAGCAGAAAAAGTAAGGATAAGTAAGAATGTTAAATCAAGGAAAATTTAAATTTAAATTGACATGATCTATAATAACGATTTGTATACTCCATTGTGTTCATCCATATTATTTTGTTATTTAATGCAACAAATGTAAACATAAAGCATGTTAGAAAAGTTTATCCCACAATATTTCAGCTCAGGCACAAAAAAACGTATTAAATTATTATAAAACCATAATCTCTTCTGCTACCAACTAAATCATATATGAAGTTTAATAAATGTATCATTCACTAACTAAACTGAACACCTTAGCATACTTAATCTCCATCTCTTTTTCGTTCCTCATGTTAATTAACAATAGATATCACAAATCTATATTAGCCTATGCATTACATTACTTTTCACTACAAAGAATATGTCACTCGACAGGGATTTTATACAAATGAATGATACCCTATCTAAAAGTATGACTCAAAATGAATCATTCTAGTTGAGCATTATGAAGTCTAAAGCGTAAATAATATGTATTAGTACCTGTTTTACACATTTGTGTTGCTAACATTGGTAAACATATTGGTTGTGATGAACAACATGAATTAATAACGCACACTGAATCATTTGATGGACATGTTTGTGTAATATTATCACATCTTTCTAATATTGAACATAAAATACCAGGTGCACAATAACTAATATTATTTATTGTTTGATAATAAAAACAAGGTGTTGATGATGAAAGGCAATTATTGTTATCATTCAAGCTGGTATTACATTGTTGTAAAGAACAATTTGATGTTGGATTCCATGCTGAATGAGACGATGAAGATAATGTAAACTGAATAGAAACATTATTTTCACTACAAGAATAATTAGGTAATTGTGTAGTTTGTCCTATTGAATTCATTTGTATTGTGATAGAATCAAATGAAAAAAGATAATCTAACAAACCTTTTATAGATGAAAAAAGTATAATGAAAAACAAGGTTATGATAAGTTGCATTGTTTTTGGTGTGATGAGTGAAAAAAAGAAAGAGTATGCGCAACAATAAGTGATTTTTCGTTGCTGGTTTTTTTTCACTACTTCTTGCAATTCTCTTTTCGTTGAAAGAGCATAAAACTGTTTCTCTTAATGCTTGCCTGTGTCCTTGAAATCAAAAATACATTCTTTTTATTTTAGATTCTTTATTCATTTAAATGTAGTGACATGTTTCTTTTGTAAACGTCTGTTTCAAAAAAAACTCTTCTATGTCTATAACTTTCGTTCACATCAAAGATTCTTTTCTTTCGTTCTTTCATCACATTTAAAATCGTCATATTTCTTCAATCGAAGTTTGAAACATTATCAGGCATATGATCTTGTTTTGATTAACGAAAGTAAAAGAAAGCATCTGTGGAGCAGATTCATGTGTACTCGATCATTTTTTAGAAAGCAAATAAGAGATTTAATTATTATTTTCATACTCTTTTCATTACTTTATGTTCTTATTTTTCATGTAACTGTTATTTTTTAAAAAGCATTTTTCTTGCCTAGAATGAACAAAATTCTAGATAAAAATATCAAATATGAAATTAGTTTAGTTATCATAAGTGATAGTAGTTTATTGAAAAAGGGTTTGTTTATTGTTTATCTTTAGATTTATTATAGAGAAATAAAGAGTAGTTCTTTGTCTTTAAATTTAGAAAGAGCAAAATTCTTACTTAAAAAAACAATTGTTCAATAGGTTTAGTGATAATTAATAACATGAGAGTTTATTTTATGAAAAAAGGGTGTGGGTGTGGGTGTGGGTGTGGGTGGGTGGGTGAGAGTGTGGGTGGGTGTGGAAGGAAAACACTTATTATACCCACACCACACCGACACTCACACCCATACCCCCACCCACACCTACACCCACTCCCTCACCCACACCCACACCACACCGACACCCACCCTCAAGATCGGTCGTTAACCTCCCTTACATCTCTATCTTCATGAATAATAAATAATGGTAATTTTTATCTCGTGTATAAAAAGCAAACGATTAGCCATCTTTGGTGTGAGTGTTATCATTAATCTCTATTCACACCCACCATCACACACCCTCATCATACTGATGTTATTACGACAATTTGGAATTAATTTCATACATTTCTATTATTAAAATATAAAATTAATTTTAATTCTTTTCTTAAGCATAAAAATCAACAAATTAAAATAAGATAAAAGACTTTTTTCTAGTACAATCAATAAATATTGAATTATAAAATATTTAAACAATTTAATTAATAAATGTTTACATCTATTTATAGACTTTATATATCTTATAGTTTAGATATACATTGATTAGTAAAAAACAATAAATAAAAGTTTTTATTCCAAATAAATATCAACTTTATACAAAAAACTTATGAGTAAAATGAAAAATTAATAGACTCAATTGAGAAAATATTTTTAAGTTTAATTATTTACTAAAAATCATTACGAGACTTTATTCTTTTATTTTATAGAAATAAAAAATCTAATTGATTTTAATCGAATTTCTTCGGTTAAAAATAACATCAAATTAGTATTTTGATTGATTTTATTAGGTTTTCTTTAAATTATAGAAATCATCAAAAATTCAATAAGAATTTAATTTGATTTCGATGAATCTCATTTGAAATATTTTCCTGAATATTATGATTATTTATGATTTAATATTTAAAATTGATTAAAATTGTAATAAAATTAATTCGAAATATTATCTTGAATTATTAATCACTTAAAAAGATTACGAGTGTGGATATGACAGTACAATGATCAACTGAAACTTACACTCACACTCCTCAAAATAGGTTTAAATTTATTTTTTATGTACATTTAATAAGTTAACAGGTAAAAATCGATTTTTTACATCTTTTCTAATATAGGTATCGCTAGTGAAGTTCTTGCGTAAGTCAATCGAGTATTTAAAAATATTAGAGGAATTTGATATTAAGGAAAAAATGATGTAGGGTAGAAAGAGTTGATATAAAAGAAATTACACGAAAGAAAAAAGCCAGGATGGAAAAAAAGCGTTAAGAGTAGAATAGATCAATACGAAAGAGATAAACAAGAACAAGCAAAAATACAAAAGAAAAATTGAGTAAGAATAGAAGGGACTGATACAAAAGGGATAAGCAAGAACAGAAAAGAAAAGAATGAGAATACGATTAGTCGATATGAAGCAAAAAAATCTACAAGCACATATACAAAAGAAAAAAAAAGAAAATATTTATGTACACACGGTTGTACGTGGCTAGTCGTTTATGTGCACCCACAATTGTATATAGCTGACTGACTATATACACATTTGTTTACATAGGTAAACGGTTATCACACACACGTAGGTATCACCATTTTATTAGTGAATATAAGATCAGATTATTATTTCATATGTATTTCTTTGTTGATATAAACTAAGTATCTTATCTTTTGAATAATTTTATTTAACTCCGTATTATGTTGTATTTTAAAATAAAAATCGCAATATAATCGAGTCGTTTTTTGATTTGATCTTGATCCAATTTTTTATATCTCTTCTAACAGAGTCACTATGATGGCATACACATATTACATTTTGGTATCGAGAACGATTAAAGAATTCTTTTATTTATTTTTCATTTTATTTCGTTGAGGTATGTTTAATATTCACTGGATTGATAATATTCAGAGAACAGAACAATCAAAAATATTATCATTTCATCATTAGAACTGTAATTTTTTTCGTGTTCTTTACACGAAAGCCATCGTTTTTTGCCATTCTTTTCTATTACTTGAGTGGTTAACGCAGCAATTTTAAAATTCATCCTTGAATTGTTACTAATTATCAGATTTCTTCATAAAGAAAAAATATTTATTTTGATCTATTTTTCTGTATGAGGAATTAAAATAAACACGAATAGATTCTTAGATTTTAGTATACTAGCAAAATGAACTTTCTATTGT